ACATAATTCATGTAATTCGTGCAGTGATGTTATGACATGGGTAACCATCAGTTATCAACCTGTACTGTAAGTGTTAATATTTTGGGTTATTTTAGCAAGTTTTCAGAATACTTCTGGTCAGAAATATTTTCTTTGAACCTTGATTCCCATAACAATGTGTGAATCAACAATGGTTACATCACACTGAACCATGATTTGTTCTAACTATGGGTTCAAACATTGCATTAAACTGAAAGTCAACAAGCCAAGAAACAGCTTAGCATCACTGTGTAACTCCCAATTTCTGAACTAGAACTGCTTAGTGGATCTGAGTGCACCTAACTCTGTGTTAAAGTGTCACCCCAGCACCCACCCACAATTTCCAGCCAACATGGGAATTAGTTGCAATAACAGCTACAGCATAGGTTGATAACTGATGGTTACCCATGTCATAACATCACTGCACGAATTACATGAATTATGTAATCTGTGACAGTCACCTCATGACTTGAATGATGTATAGTATGTCATCTGTGTGATGTTTTATTTATTTATTGAATTTATTTGCTGCCTGATTCCCAGTGACTCTGCATGGTTATTGTGTATATTATTTTTATTATATGTATTTATATCCTGCTTTTCACTTAGGAGTTCAAGCTGGCATAACAATGTGTGTGATCTTTTATTTATTTGTTAAATTTATATGCTGCCTGACTCCCAGTGACTCTAGGTGGTTATTGTGTATAACATTGCTATTCCATATATGATGTCACTTGTTTTCCTCTGCAGATACCCATATTGCCAGTAGTATATTCCAAAGATGACACCTTGGGATTGTTCTAAACTGAAAGGAAGTTGTCTCTGAGATTACTTCAATGTAATTATTCCTTATAATGGAAGGAAGCATTAAGAATGCATTCCCTGGTGACTGTTGTTTTGCTGAAGTATGCTGATAATCTTCACCATCAACATTTACAATTTCTCTGAAAAATCCATATTTTTATACACTTGGATGTTAGATGTTATTCAGTGCATTCGTTTACTGGTAACAGACCTCCAGTACAACTATCCCAAATTAGTAAATAACAGATACACAGGAGTCCTGAACTTTCAAAAATAATGAAAGCACAAGAACACTGGGGGAGGGGAGACCACTGGCAATTCTGATGCCCTGTAGAAAGGAGGTCTTCTGCCACCGATGTAATCAGAAGGGGAGCTTAAAGGCCCTCCAGTCCATCTCTCCAGGGTGTAGAATCTGTACCCCCTTAGATGTTCCGATCGAGGAGAATATGTGTAGCTCAGGGTTGAACTGCTGAGTTCTTGGTAGTCCCTGAATTTGGATGTTTATCTGCAGACATTTTGTTACAAGGCTAGGTAACATCAGTGCATCGTTCTCCTGCGTTACATCCTGGAGCTGCACCTTCTATCCAAAGGTTACCATGCCGATTTCCTCCCCCACCCCCGCTTTCGCTTCTCTCCCCCTATTATTCTGCTCCAGCTCATCCGAAACGGGGAAGGAGACCCTCACCTGCGGAAAGCTTCTTGCAACAACGAGCAATCCGGCCCCTCCGAGGATCCAGGGCCGTGGACGATCCGAAACTGATTGGGCGCCACCCGGAACCTCTCCGGGGAGATGCGCAGCGACTGAGGCAGCGGCCAAAGCGAGCCGAAGGGGGACGCGTCCAGCTGCGTCCTGGGGCTCAAGAACAGCAGCTCCGCCAACGTTGGATTCCAAGGGGAGACCCCCAGGACCGCCGAAATGCCCAAGAACAACCCGAGCAGCCCCATGCTCCCCATCGCCCGTCCAGCCACTCGGCTGTCGACACCGACACCTGCACCGCGCGCGTCGCGGTCCCTGACCTCCAAGAGGCTGGCTCTCCCTGGCAGCTCCCAGCCCCGCCCTCTTCATCCCGCCCGAGATGGGGACCGGGGAAAACAAGCTGCCGCGCTTGCCAAGGAGTTTCCACCGCAGAGAAAACCCCGAGCGGCTGCAGGGTCTGACGACAGCTGAAGCAGAGGGTCGGTCTGCGTCGCCCCCTTTCGACGGAGCCTCGCCCTGTTTTGCTTTCTCGCGCAGGCCGAGCGTTCCAGAAGAGCCGGGATAAGACGACGTTCGCCCCCTCCGCCCTCTCATTGGCTTCGCGAGCCCCGTTGCTCCGTTTCGCTCTTCCTGCGACGGTAGGAGACGGGACCGTCAAATGCAGAACAGGGGAAATGGCAGAAACGAATAAAAACAATACTGTAGTCTAGAATCTTCAGCGATGTTCCATCCCGCTTTTGGAAACCAATCCATATCCCTCACTGCAATTTTCGATGTCTAGATCAGAGGTCCCCAAACTGCTCAGCTCATCAACTGCTTCATGGAGTTTCAGATGGTTCATTGACCCCCAAACATTTATTGTATGTAAATACTTTAAGAAGTATTACTTTAACTAATAGTACTACGAATAACAGATAGTCCCATCAACTCTTGGGGAGCCCTGCTCTAGACTTTCCTTGCACACTCTTCGCAATGGAAGTATATTTGCAGAATTGTATACAGTAAGAGGTCCAGACAAACTCTTGCTCCATCTGTAAATTCAGTGCTACTTTTTACCACAAATAAACAAAACATCTTTTGGTGTATTGGTGGGTTTGTGCGCTGGCAGTTCTAGTAGACCAGGGGTTTGTCGCTCACTCTCTCCTTCCTGCTCCAGCGGTACGTTGTCGGGGGCGCACCGTCGGCCAGCACCCACTGTCAATG